AAAAAAAAAAGAACTGTCAACCCAGAATTCTATACCCAGTGAAAATACTAAGGAATGAAAGAGAAATCAAGACTCTCTGATGAAGGAGAGATAAGAAAATTTGTTGCCAGCCAACCTACCCTAAAAGAATAACTAAAGGAAGTTCTGTAAACAGAAATAAGTAAAGAAATCGTGGACTGTTAGGAAAGAAAATCAGTATGCAAACTAAGAATAAATACAGAGGCCGGGCATGGTGGCTCACCTGAGGTGAGGAGTTCGAGACCAGCCGCCCCCCCATGGTGAAACTTCATCTATACTAAAAATACAAAAAAAATTAGCAGGGTGTGGTGGTTGTGGTGGTAGGTGCCTGTAACTCCAGCTACTCAGGAGGCTGAGGCACGAGAATCGAGAATCACTTTTACCCAGGAGGTGGTGGTTGCAGTGAGCTGAGATTGCGCCACTATACTCCAGCCTGGGCAACAGAGTGAGACTCCATCTCAAAAAAAAAAAAAAAAGAGAGAGTAAATACAGAGCAATAGGCTTCTCTTGAGTTTTCTAAATTATGTTTGATAGTTGAAGCAAAAGTGAAAATTATAACACTGCCTAATATGGCTCTAACTGTAGAAGAAAATGAAAATTGCATTCCAAATGGGGGAGGGTAAAGGAAAATAAGGTTCCCATATTTTACACCAGTCATGAAGAAGTTTCCTCTGATACAGGATATGAGATGGCTATATTCTTTTTCTCATCTGTATTTCCAGGATATCCTCTCACTTGGACAGAATTAAACAGGAGATTTAAAAAAAATTCATTTAATGTTTGTAAATTATATCTCCATAAATTGCTTTTAAAAATAAAATATGTGGCCAGGTGTGGTGGCTCACGCCTATTGTCCCAGCACTTTGGGAGGCCAAGGTGGGAGGAGCAGCCTGGTCTCAGAGCAACATAGCAAGGTCCTGTTCCTAAACAAAATAACAACTAGAAGATAAAAAACTCGGTTGTGGTGATGTGCCTGTAGACTCAGCTATTCTGGAGGCTGAGGCAGGAGGATCACTTGAGCCCAGCAGTTTGAGGCTATAGTGAGTCATGATCATGCCACTATACTCATACCTATAGTCTGGACAACAGAATTGAGAACCAGATCAAAAAACAATATACATATTTGGCTGGGCATGGGACTCATGCTTGTAATTCCAGTGCTATGGAAGGCCAACACAGGAGGATTGCTTGAGGCCAGGAGTTTCTAGCCTGGGCAATATAGTGAGATGCTATGTCTAATACAAATAATAATAAAATTTAAAAAATAGAATATGACAAAGAAAAATGTATACCCACCCAAATAAATTTTGTTTTTACTCATTAAACTTTAATGCAATTCCTTTTTAAAAATACTTTATAAGAAAATTCCTTTAGCCAGGTGTGGTGACATGTGCCTATAGTCGCAGCTACTTAGGAGGCCGAGGGCAGAGAATCACTTGAACCCCAGAGTTTGAGGCTGTAGTGACATATAATCACACCCCTGCATTCCAGCTTGGGTGACAGAGAGAGATTGCATCTTAAAAAAAAAAAATGGCCGGCATGGTGGCCCACACCTGTAAACCCAGCACTTTGGGAGGCCGAGGCGGTAGATCACGAGATTAAGACCATCTTGGCCAACATGGTGAAACCCTGTCTCTACTAAAAATACAAAAATTAGCTGAGCATGGTGGCACGTGCCTGAAGTCCCAGCTACTTGGGAAGCTGAGGCAGAAGAATCACTTGAATCTGGGAGACAGAGGTTGCAGTGAGCTGAGATCGTGCCGCTGCAGTCCAGCCTGGCTACAGAGCGAGACTCAGTGTCAAAAAAAAAAAAAATTATTAGTTCATTCCTCTAATGTCTACTTACAATTAGAAGGGTTTAAACTCTAAGGAAGATAGTGGCTATATGACCAATTAGCAGCAGGTTTATTTCTGTGTCTTAATAACAATAGCAGGTGCTAACTGTATGCTTCTTAGGTACCAGTAACATAGTAACATGCTGGGAACTTGCAAACCTTGACTCTTATCTTCATAGCTACCCTGTAAAGTAACCAGACCAGTTTGCTAACAGAGAATAAATGAACACTGTAACTTTCAGCAAAAAATTCAGATGCAGATGAACAGGAAACCAGTACTTTGCTCAAGGGTCTGAGACGCTCAAACATGAGGTAGATGTCATCTATTATTCATGGCTTCCCATTCTTTGGAATATCCTCTCTACATTTTGACAGTTACCCACAGTACAACTCCCATCTTCTGGCAGAATATAAAAATCATTTCCTTGCCTCCCTTGCAGTCAAGGGTATGGTCATGTGTCATAGTTCTGCTCAATGAGATGTAAATGAAAACTGCCATGTGGGAATTTCTGGGAAAGTTGCTTAAAATGCAGGTTGACTCACTCAACTAACTTTTTTGCCATTCCCTTCTTTTTTCTTTCACCTGCCTTTAAGTCAGATGAATTGGCCAGAGCTCTTCATGCCAGTTCATAAGCATGAAGATGAGGCCACATCTTGAGGACAGCAAAGGAGAAAGCTAAAAGGAATCTAGACTTCTTAAGATGGCATGGAACCACTATCACTGTCCTAGATTTACCACCTCTCAATTTCTTTTACCTGAGTGAAAAATAAGTTTCCATCTTAAGTCTTGTTTATTTGGTTTGACAACACAACCCCAACTAATAGGTGGGGATTTTTCCATCTTACAGAACCTCATTTTAACTTCCTTCACTGGCTAACATACCAGAAGCAGAAGCTGGAAATGAGATGTTTCACATATTACTTGTACAAAAAAAAGCAGTAAAAGCTGAATAGTTTATGTTTCATCAAAATGTTCCCACATTAGAAAATCCTATGTCAAAAAGTCCCACATGTCAGACATCACATAGAATAAATCAACAATAAATGCCCTTAAATAATTTATACAAGATCGCATGATTATAGTGGCAGAGACAGGTTTTAAATCTAGGTCATTCTGATGGCTAAAGCCCATTTTCCTTCCACAGAACAAGGACCTGATTTTCATTCATGCAAGGATGACATTTCTGTTACAAGGAGTAACTGAAAATGGCCCATGGCCAATGCATTTCCTTATTTTATTACTAATTTTCCACCTGGTGGAAATGGGTCACTTCTCAAGAGGATGCCAAGCAGACTGAGAATGAGGTAGCTAAATTATAATATTTAAGCTAATAAAATGGTTACTACCAGACTTAGAACTTCTATTTTTAAACTAAGTTATTTAGATTAATAACTTATTTGTTTAAACATAATTACTGAAATTATTTTTAGACTATAAATAATTAGTCTAAAAATAATTACCGAAATTATCTTGGTAAAGATTTTTGTATATTTTATATAAAGCTGAATAACATCCTGTAATTTTAGGTATCATTTGATATGAAGCAAGATCACTACAAAAATAGGACAGAGATAAAACATAACAAAAATTTTTATGGCTGCCGACAAAACATATACACAAAGAGTTTAAATTCAGTTTAAGAAGTCAGAACTTGTAAGTAAAATCCAGAACATATGTGGTATTTAAATAACTTACCAATCTGACTTTTAGGTGCTCCAGCAACCACTAAATTTAAAGTACTAGAAGACATTTCTTTTCTTGTTGGGTTAACAACACATTCTCCATCAATCATTCCTATTCGTACTGCCCCTAAAATGTATTAGAATATTGAAAACCGTTTAATGGAAATTCAGTTTTCAAGAATTCCAGTGATGGTTTCAATCCCATCTTTGATTGTGACCACAGAATAAAATCCGTATTTCTACCACAGTATTTAAGACCCACAGACCATCCTATCCCGCCCTACCTTCTGGCCTCACTGGACCACTCTGAACTGCTCAAATATACCCCTCTCCCCACACCTCCATGATTATGCTCATGTCTGCCCCCTGGTCTAGACAGTACTCTCTCTAAGGCAAATGCTTAACATCAGATCCTACTAAGGTTCAGCTTATAATATGACTACTCCAAGGAGTTCTCTTTGACAACCTGACCACACAAAATCACACCTGCTCTTCTCTATCACATTCTTAGCATTTTGACTCTCTTTATAATAACACTGATTATAAATAATTATCTGTCTCCTTTATGCTGAAATCAAGAAATGCATCTTTCACCATTGTATTGCTAGGGCCTAGTCTGCCTAGGACACTTGATAATTATTTACTCAATGAGCTATTTTTAAATTGCATGATTATGACTTGTAAGAGCTGTAAGTTACATTAATTTTACCCTGAAAGAGTATATACTCTGATCATTTCCCAGTTTAAAAATAAAAGAAGTCCTCTAACAGAAAGAGACAATTAAGAAGTCAAAATATCTAGGGACATGAAATCTATAACACCATAACATACTGCTATTAGAAACAGAACCCAAGACAAACATGATAATGTCTGAAAGATCTGAAAGGAGACTTAGAATGTCATCTAGTTCAATTCCTGAAGAGGTACTAAATCAGAGCCATATGCAGTTGCTATTAACATGCTCACTTTTACTAAAAAAAAATACACATGATTTCTTATTTTTAAATCCTAACTTACCAACAGGTCCATTCCAAGGAATATCTGATAATGAGAGGGCTACAGAAGCTTAAAAAAAAAAAAGAGAAAAATAGGGGCTGAAATTAAAATTTCATTGCTTTAAAAAAATCAACAATGAAATTTTAATCTCTACTTTTATACTTACCGCCATTAATTGCTAGGACATCAGGCTCATTAATACCATCTACTGCTAACAGATTACACAGAACCTGGTGTAAGGGAAAAAATTTAAGGCACTTAAAAGAATCTGTTTGATTTGGAAGGATTATCATTTAGGTTAACATCCTGGCCTAACATACAAGAGCATTATATGGCTAAAAGGACATCTTGATTTTGCTATCATTTAACTAAATGCTTGACATTGGATAAATTACTTAAACCTCAAAAGCTTCATCATCTTTAAAAGGGAAAAACAGGACAGTCATGGTAGTTCACGCCTATAATCCCAGCACTTCGGGAGGCTGAGGTGGACAGATCACCTAAGTTTAGGAGTTTGAGACCAGTTTGATCAACATGGTGAAACCCTGTCTTTACTAAAAAGACAAAAATTAGCCAGGTGTGGTGGCCCACACCCGTAGTTCCAGCTAACCAAGAGGCTGAGGCAGGAGAATCTTCTGAACCCAGGAGGTAGAGGTTGCAGTGAGCTGAGATTGCACCACTGCACTCCAGCCTGGGCAACAGGGTAAGGCTCTGTCTTTAAATAAATGGGAAAAATAATGGCATCTTCCCAAAGGGTTCCTGTGAGAATTAGAGAAATACCATAGATAAGGCATTTACGACAGTCCTCACATGTTGCAAGTATTCAGTAAATGTTAGCTATTTCTGTCATATAAAAATATTTTCTGTTGGCCAGGTGCGGTGGCTCACACCTTATAATATCAACACTTTGGGAGGCCAGGGAGTGCAGATCACAAGGTCAGGAGTTCAAGACCAGGGTGGCCAACATGGTGAAACGCTGTCTTTACTAAAAATACAAAATTAGCCGGGTGTGGTGGTGGGCACCTGTGATCCCAGCTACTCGGGAGGCTAAGGCAGGGAGAATCACTTGAACCCGGGAGGCGGAGGTTGCAGTGAGTCAAGATCATGCCATTGCAATCCAGCCTGGGCTACGGAGGAAGACTCCATCTCAAAAAAACAAAACAAAACAAAAAACACAAAAATTTGTTTATAAGCATAGATGAAACAAACTTTACACTGCAATAATGTGCCCATGTCATGCACTAAAGAAAAAAACTTCCCTGACCAGGTATGGTGGCTCATGCCTGTAATAACAGCACTTTGGGAGGTCTGAGGCAGGAGGATCGCTTGAGACCAGGAGTTCGAAACCAGCCTGGTTTACATACTCTCTACAAAACAAACAAACAAACAAAAAAAAACCAAACAAACAAACAAAAAAAAAACTTAGCTGGGTATGGTGGTTTGTGCCTGTAGTCCCAGGTACTCAGGAGGCTAAGGTGGGAGGATCATTTGGGCTCAGGAGTTTGAGGCTGCAATGAGCCATAATCATGTCAACTCTACTCCAGTCTGGGCAACAGAGGCCTTGACTCAAAAAAAACCACCACCACCACCAACAACAACAAAAACTTCCCTGAGGCTGAGGCTGTGATATTCTTGCAAAGGCATAATTATAAGGTGTATTTTATTTATTTCAAATGAATAAAATGGTTACTTAAGTTTATGAGACATTATCCTAAAAGAGAATACTATTCTACTAACATACAATATGGGTTCAGAGGATCCAGCAATAAAATTAGGTAATAAAAATTAGTTACATTGGTTGTCCTATACTGTAACTAATATGACCTACAAGGCCCAGCCTGATCTGGTCCCCACTCACTCTAGTCACGCTGACCTTCTTTTTAAACTCACTAATTTCTTTCCTGCCTGTGGGCTTTCATGCTTCCCTGACACACCTTGGTTGGCTAACTCCTACCCATAATTCTGGTGTCAACTCAAGTAGAAAAGTACTATATTTTTTCAAAAAATTAATGTAAAATATAATATCATAAAAAATTGTTATGTTCATTATAACGTTTAGTCTAGGAAGTATTATAGAGATTCATTAAGTAATTTTTGACTGATCTGGCAACTAAAAAACCTAAAGCAGAACCTACCTGTGTATCATAGAAGTAGCCAGCTGGAAAGAGAGGTCTAATCGAACGATCTGCCAAAAGAAAAGAAAGACATTACACAGTACTGAAAGAGTTGCTTTACAGTTCAAAACTTTTGAACTAATATAGATAGCTGTTCAGTATGTTTTCAAGAAAAGTCCCCCTGGACTGATTTACTAAGAGGGACACAGATAAATGTTAGTGCTTCCATTAATACATACCATTCCCTAACAATAAGACACAAACATGGAAGGAGCACATTAACTATAAAGATTGGGTAGCAACTTTTCATTCTGGTTCCATAGGCATCAGTTATATATGTAATCAGAGCAAAGAGACTTCAGACCAATAGCAGACCAAAAGAAAATGCTTCCTTGCTACTTTGTGTCTGAGGACTGTATATAAAGATACATAAAATAGCAAGTTCTGGATAGAAGAGCTATAAATTACACAATGATCCCACCACATGTGGGGATGTTAAAGACTTGAAAGGTATGGACATTATTTCAGTAGCTGATGACTATAATGTTTAGGAATTACTATATTGAACATTAAAAAGGTACTGGAAATAGATTCAGCGGAGTAGAGGCATGGGCCATAAAGTTCATATGCTTGATAGAGATTTACTCATTTAGTCAACAAATATTTATTGAATGCCTATTCTGTGTTAAGCAGTATACCAGGTACTAGGGATTCAACAGTGAATAAACAACATTTTTTTTTCTCTCATAGAGCCCATATTTTAGTAAGGGAATAGAGACAGTGAATAATCTTAGGTGGTGTTAATGCTATGAAAGAAAACTTAAGACATATTCTAGAACACAGACGAAAAAGAAGAGATGCTAACATAAGTATATCAGAGATGATGAATGCCTCTATGTTAATATCTTACCTATTATTCGACTTGTAAGAATTTCTTTATCAGAAGTACCAATCTCTCTTCTCAGATAGTTGGTGGGAATTCTACCTGCTGCAGCAGCCTTTTGTCTGTAGTCAACCTGAAGCAGCAATAAAAATGAATTCATATAACTCTTTTTGCAGAAACAAACTATACTGTAAGAACTACCGTATGAATGCCAATTCTCCTAAGGTTGCTAACAACATAGTCTAGACTCAGAGTAGAGAATGTTATTTATTTAGCATTTTGTAACTCTTGGGGAAAGGAAAGTTAATAGAAGTGTTTCTGTAAAGTGATTTAAAAAAACATTCAGGTGCAGTGGTGCACGCCTGTAATCCCAGCACTTTGGGAGGCCAAGGCAGGAGGATCACTTGAGGCCAGGAGTTTCAGACCTGCCTGGGTAAACATAGAAAGACCTTGTCTCTACCAAAAAAAAAAAAAAAAAAAAATTCGTTGGGCACATGGCCTGAGCCCATAGTCCTAGCTACTCAGAAGGCTGAGGTGGGAGGATCTCTTGAGCCTAGGAGTTTGAGGCTGTAGTGAGCAATGATCACACCACTGAACAACCCTAGCCTGGGTGACAGTGCAAGACCCTGTCTCTAAGAAAAAAAAAAAAGTCTTCTACTCAATAGTTGGAGCGGAAGAGTCACTATTTCCTACAGTTTCTCATTCTGATCAAGTCAAACATTGCTTTTTCTTGTTATCAACTCTGTTAAATGTAATTGTACTCCCCTCTTTTCATAATAGAAGCTGTAAAATTCTAATGAGCTCATTACTAAACATATACAGTTGTCTCTTGGTATCCCTAGGGGAATTGGTTCTAGGACCTCTTGAGGATATCAAAATCCATGGGTGCTCATATCCTTGATGTAAAACACCATAGTATTTGTTTATAACCTATATATATCCCCTCATGTACTTTAAATCATCTCTAGATTACATATAATCCTTAATGCAATGTAAATGCTATGTAAATAGTTTTTATACTATATTGTGTAGGGAATGACAAGAAAAAAAAGTCTGTACAATGTCAGTATAGATGCAATTTTTCCCCAATATTTTCGATCCATGGTTGGTTGAATCCATGGATGCAGAACCCGAGGATATGGAGGGCTGACTATACTTGCAGAGTCATATTGAAGGGAAACTATGAAGGCAATGAATTCACTGCTTATTCAATGTCAAAGTACTCATGCACTTCCAGTCTTCTTGTCAACTTATGCACCTGGACATTCCAAATTCTAAAATATGCTTAATACTAGTATTTGTTTATTAAGCAATCAGTTTATACTCTTTTAATGACTCAGTATCAAAAAACTAAAAAAATTCTCTGCTGTGCAAGTTTGTATTTCCCCCTCACTAGACACTGGACAAAAATATTATACATTCTACACTTACTTACACAATATTACAGTTCAGATAAACCAGCAAATACTTACCACCAAAGGCATAAACTGGGAAGGTGAAGGTTTTGTTTTACTGACCGTTGTGACCATTACTGCAGTGTCACCTGACTTAAATAAGAAAACTGGTAAGTTCCTTTGAAATCAGATATTAGCATCTAAGTAGAAACTGAATGAATCCTTATTCCAATTAAACTCAAGAACAGATATGTAATTCTATGACATGATTATGAAATGAAAATAGTTATTTGCAAGTAGTCCAATCTTGATCTCTGAGCTTTTGAAAAGCTATGGAATCAAAAGAAGGAAAGGCTAACAGGTAATTTAGTCATATCCAATGAACTGAACAGTATATTCTACTTCTTATGTGGCTATACATAATGAAAAATCCCCCAGTTATTACTATAGAAGAAAATACCAAAATCACTCTCTAGAAGAGCATAACAATTTACTAAAAGCATAAAACAGAAGCCTAAGTTTGGAAAGGATGTTAAAGGTCACTTAATATATTCAGCCCTCTGGACTCTGATTGTCTGGAATAATTTTTACAATAGAAATGTAAGGGAATGTAATAGTATTTGAATTAATTTCCAGTACCAAATCCTAAGTAGTTACATGGTATTATAGATGCATATTTAGTATGAGTCTCCATAACCATTTTTAAGATGAATTTTTAAAATCTGAACTTTTTACCTGTACTACAGCAGAGCCATCTGCAAATCTGGCCAGCTTTCCAGAGGATATTTCCAATTTCCTATTTAAAAATAAAAATGCAATACAAGAAGAATTAGGTTATCGGTACAATTCCAGCTTAGTATAATAAAGGATTCTAACAAAAGATTCTTACCAACTACCCCCAGCAACAAACAAAAAGGGTCAGAATCTGTGATCATTATTAAAAGTAAAAGGGTAATTTAAGAGTGGCTTAAAGCAGAATACACAAACCAAGACACAGGATTGATCTGAAAAGGAAAGTATTTTGGAGATGCAGAAGTTAACTGCTTGCCTAAATGTTAATTCCCATTTACCATCTTTTTTTTTTTTTTTTTTTGGGCGGTGGGGGGTCATTTTGCCTTGTATCTTTTTTCTTTTCTTTTCTTTTTTTGAGACAGAGTCTTACTCTGTTGCCCAGGCTGGAGTGCAATGGCACAATTACAATTCGCTGTAACCTTGAACACCTAGGCTTAAGTGATCCTCCACCTCAGTTTCCTGAGCGGTTGGGACTACAGGTGCACACCATCACACTTGGCTAATTTTATTTTTTGTACAGATGGGATCTCACTATATTGTCTAAGTTGGTCTTCAACTCCAGGCTTTAAGCAATTCTCCTGCCTTGGCCTCCCAAAGTGTTGGTATTACAGGTATGAGCCACTGTGCCTGGCTCCATTTACCATCTTAGTACAGTCTTTTATCATCTCTCACCTTGTTGCCTACAGTAGCATTTTAACATACAAATAAGATCATTTCCCTATTTAAAAATGCTTTAGCCAGACGTGTGTCTCACACCTGTAATACCAGCACTTTGAAAGGCTGAGGCAGGCCAATCACCTGAGGTCAGGAGTACAAGACCAGCCTGACAAACATGGTGAAACCTCGTCTCTACTAAAAATATCAAAATTAGCTGGGCATGGTGGCATGTGTCTATAATCCCAGATACTGGGGAGGCTGAGGCAAGAGAATTGCTTGAACCCAGGAGGGGGAGGTTACAGTGAGCCGAGATTGTGCCAGTGCACTCCAGCCTGCGTGACAGAGTAAGACTCCATAATCCAAAAAAAAAAAAAAAAAAAGCTTTAGAATTTCTCTCAGACCTTTTAGGACAAAATACAAACTCCTAAATATTGCCTTCAAAAACCTTCATGTTCAACAGAGGGGAGAGAATCATCTTCAATTCAATGAAGAAAGAGTAGTCTTTTGACACAATAGTGGACAACTGTATGCGAAAAAGAATGAATCTTCATAAATTAACTCAAAATAGATCCTACACCCAAACGTAAAAACTAAAACAACAGAAGTCTTACAAACAAAATGCAGGAGCAAATCTTCAGAGACTTGAGCCAAAGTCTTAAATGTGACATCAAAAGCATAAATGACAAAAGAAAAAAACAGGTAAGGTAGATTTCATCAAAATCAAAATCTTTCACATTTCAAAGACCATTAAGACAGTAAAAGAAACACCACAGATAAGGAGAAAAATATTTGCAAACCATATTAACTGATAAGGGATTTGTATTAATATCTAGAATATGCAAAGAATGCTTACAATTCAACAATAAAGACAACAAAATTTTAAAATCTGGCAAAGGACTTGAACAGACATCTTTTGCCATACAAATGGCAAGTACATAAAAATATGCTAAATGTCATTAGCTATCAGAGAAATGCAAATCAAAATCACAATGAGTACCATTTGACATGTTATAAATTGTAGCATTATTCATAATATCCCCGAAATGGAAACAACCCAAATGTCTGTCAACTGATGAATAGATAAGCTAAATGTGGCATAATACATACAACAGATTATTATTCAGCTATAAAAAGGAACAAAGTACTAATACATGTTACAACATGGATAAACCCTGACAACATTATGTTAAGTGAAAGAAGGCAGTCTCAAAAGACTATGTTTCCACATAAGAAATGTTCATAATAGGCAAATCCACAGAGATGGAAAGTAGATTAGTGGTTGCCTGGCCTGGGGAGAAATGCTAAGTGACTACTACTACTGAGTTTCTTTTAAGGTTGATAGAAGTGTTCTAAAATTTATGGTGGTAATGGCTACAAAACTTTGAATATACTAATACTCACTGAACTGTATACTTTATTTATCTGTATTTATTTATTTTGAGATAGGGTCTTACTCTGTTGCCCAGGCTGGAGTGCAGTGGTGCCATCACGGCTCACTGCAGCTTTGACCTCCCAAGCTCAAGTGATCTTCCCACCTCAGCCTCCTGAGTAGCTTGGAGTACAGGTGTGCACCACCAGACCAGACTAATTTTTAAATTTTTTGTAGAGAAGAGATCTCACTATGTTACACAGGCTGGTCTCAAACTCCTAGACTCAAGCAATCCTCCTGCCTTGGCCTCCTAAAGTGCTAGGATTACAGACATGAGTCACTGCCCTGGACGAGTTGTACACTTTAAATGAACTGTATGTATGGTATGTGAATTATATCTTAATAAAGTTGTCTTACATACATGAAATAGGCAGAACTATTAGCCGATTCCCCAGTTTCAGCAGAGAATGCAAAAAGAGGCTACTGAAGTCTTGAAACAGACCAGCAAAAAGCTCAAGATTCATCAAAAGGTGTTTTGAGATGAAACCAAGTTAGTTACCCCTGAAGATATGAAAGAAGAGGGTCTGTCACATGAACTCAGCTTCAGGAACATTCTATCATAGTCTGGTGCTGAAAATGCACAAACCAAACACAAGCATGCAGAGTCCAAACGCCCTGCCCCAAATAAGATTATTTGTCCTTCATATACCAGAGAGACAAAGGAACAACACTTAATATTTCCAACTGTTAAATACCTTTGCCAGAACCCTGAGTTAAGAAAAGCATATTATGGGCTGGGCGTGGTGGCCCATGCCTGTAATCCCAGCACTTTGGGAGACGGAGTTGGGTGGATCACCTGAGGTCAAGAGTTCAAGACCAACCTGACCAACATGGAGAAACTCCATCTCTATTAAAAAAAAAAAAGAAAAGAAAAAAAAAGAAAAAGAAAGAAGAACGAAAGAAAGAAAGAAAGGAAGGAAGAAAGAAAAGCATATTTACCTATTCAGTTAGACTCATTTTGTTAAGTTTGAAAGTCAGAACAAAACATATACATTTAAAATATGTATGTTAACAAATACAATGATTTTGCAGTATTGAATTCTTGACTCTGAAATATTAGTTTTTTTTTTTTAAATCAGGAAATTTTTGAGAAATTCTAATTGGATTTCTACTTATTCAACAAAGATGTTATAATGATGAAAGACTACAATAAAATGGGTCTCCTCTGACTGATGGGAAGAGGAGTCTGGTACTGGAGTAATAGGTGGAGTAGATGGAAGGAATGAGATACACAGAACCAGTCATACTGTGTAGTATCACACAGACCTGCAACAACTTATAGCTGAAATCAGTATTAAGTAATGTTTTCATGTGGCAAATGTAAATTTGGCATCTTGAAATTTTGTTTAACCTTGATTAAGATACTACCAGTACTTCTCAAAACCTACCAGGGACTGGCATTCCATCTACCAATGTGAATTCTGAATACCTAAGTGATTTCTGTGAAGGGAAGTGGAGGATTTTTAACTGGATCAAAGCAGGCCCAAAACACAGGGAAGAAGAGGTGTGAAAGCTACAGTCCTACTCTACTATGGGGCTACTGTCTTAGCATTTTGCCCACAGTGGTATACACTGTTGAATATCCTCAGTGATTTGATGCATAGTAGATTCTCAGTAAAAGCTTGCTGAAATGAAAATTAAACACCTGCCTCAAAGGTTACTGTGAGCATTAAATATGCTATTTGAAAAACACCTACAAAATTATATAATCTTCTAGAATGCAGTAAAAAACATATATGGTAGCAAATATAATGTGCCTGGTACATAGCAGTCATTCAATAAATATTGCCAATGGCGAACAAGACAAAAATGAAAGAATTTATCCAGCAGGTATGCTATGAATCTAGTTATTTCAACACATGACATGGGTTTAAAAAGAACCACTTATAAAAGAGGTACAGGTTGATTAATAAATGAAAGAGTCAAAGTAGATTATTTATGGAAAACATGGAGTAGGAACTACATCTTGTTTTAAGTATCTAGTGCCTATCTCACAGTAGGTGACTGTTGAATGAAATGTTCTGGGCATTTCATCAAAGAATGTGCAGTCCTTGAAGAATGGAAGAGATGCCCTCTTCCCTAAAAAATCAGAATTAATGAATGCTGGTAATGGATTGAGCCTTAGAGATAACCAAGTCTAGGGGCGACCAAACTACAGCTAATGACTTTTTTCTGTAGAGCTCTTCAACTATAAATGTTTTTTTAAAAAATATGTATTTCTTTTCTTTCTTTTTTCTTTCTTTTTTTGAGACAGAGTTTCACTCTTGTTGCCCAGGCTGGAGTGCAATGGCACAATCTTGGCTCACTGCAACCTCTGCCTCCTGAGATCAAGCGATTCTCCTGCCTCAGCCGCCCAAGTAGCTAGGATTACAGGTGCCCACCACCATGTCCAGCTAATTTTTGTATTTGTAGTAAAGATGGGGTTTCACCATATGGGCCAGGCTGGACTTGAACTCCTGACCTCAGGTGATCCACCTGCCTCGGCCTCCCAAAGTGCTGGGATTACAGACAGGTGTGAGCAACCGTGTCCGGCCATTTAAAAAAATATTTCTAAAGAGTTTGAAAACACATACAGTGTGTACCTCAAAAAGCTTAATATGTATATTATCTGGTCCTTTATAGAAAAAGTTTGCAGACCCTTGATGGAATCCAGTCTTCACATTTTGCACAAGAAAATAGTGAAGTAACTTGTTCAATGTCAATTACTTATCCAAAGTTAGGGTGGAAGACCTGGATTCAAAACTAGATTTTTTTTCTTTTTGTATGAACTGGGGTCAAAATTTTTTTCAAAATACACACAAAAAATTTAGATATATGAGGTTTGTATTAGCAATTCCATTTATTCTAAAAACAATTAAAGCGTAAGTTTTTTTTTTTTTTTAAACGGTTTCATAAAAAAAAGTACAGGCTTTATAAAAAAAAGTACGGGCTTTATAAACAAGAATCAGAAATTCAGAAACCACCTAGTCCTATAATACTAACTTTTTAATTGACTTTAGAAAGTTATCTAACCTTTTATGAGCCTCTGTAGTCTTCACTGTAACATGAGGGTAATAGTACCTTTACTACAGGTTTAAAAAAATTGCGAGGATCATATAACTGGCGTTCAAAAAAACTGACGTTTCCTTTACCTCCTAGCCCAGGGTCATAGTGGCCACACTTTAGGCAATCAATTAGATTGGATGATATGATACATCCA